AAAAAAAACGAAAAAAAAGGAAACGAAAACCATCACTTCGAAGCAACAATTTTATTGATTAAGCTTGCTTTTGTTTACCTTACTATTAATGTCACAATTTAAATATAATGCTCTAAAAAAATCTTTAAATTATTATAAAAATTTACATAAGTTTTTATTGCTTTTAATTTGAATTAAATAAACAATTATAATAAATAATTAAATAATTATCATTAATCAAAATATTATTTGTTATATTATATTTATGTGTTTTTAACATGACACTAATATAAATATTAAAAAATATCACATAATCATATTATTATAATATATCAGTATATTATATTATTATTTATATAATATGTTAGTATATCGTATTAATATAAAGTAATATAAAATGACAAAATAATGTTTTGATTAATTTATTTGATAAAAATAAAAGTATGAAATTTAATTAAAAAATAAAAAACATTTAAATAATTTTAAATAATATATATTTTAAATATTATACTCACAATTTACATCTATTTTCTTAAAAATCACGATTAATGCCCTTTTCAAATTCAATCACATCAAAATCTGCAGTGTCAAATTTTAACTTATCTTATTTTTCTTGTTTCTTGTATAATGTTGACATTAATAATTTATTTAATTGAAGTATTATTTTTAAACATTAATGACAAGGTAATTGGAAAATCTGCCAATTGTCTATGGTTTTTTCTCAAAAGAAAAAAATATTCCCTGAAAATATACCTTCAACTAGTATTTTCAGAAGGGAACCCACTTAACCAATAAGAAAATGCCATGACGTGTAAACTGAGCAACGCCGTCAACTGAATCCTCTAGGTTTCCGTTCTCTGCCAAACGCAGTACACATAAAAACACTAACTGTAGGAACCGTACCGAATGTATAACCCACTCGCGAGTGCTGTTTCCCAATTTTGCTATGGTTTATTTATTTCTCATACAACCTAATAACGATTTAATTAGGTGTTATTGAGACCACCCCAAGATAATTGGAGCTCACCCAATCCGTTTTCCCCTTTTTTTCACCAACAAGTCATGGTGTGTTCGGTCTTCAGTGTTTTGAAAAAACAAAATTTGTATAACTGCAAATCAATCGTTAATTTGGTATATTGTAACATGATTAAAATTTATTTATTTTTGTTTATTTAAATTATATATTTTTCTAATGTTCAAACCGAATAGTATTAACTGCAAGAATGTTTTGCAATATTCAATATCATTTTGAAGTATAAAAAAATTAATTTCTTGACAAAAGTCACAATTAAATTTTAATATATTATTAATTTATTATGTATAAATTTGATTTGACATACTAAATTCATTTACATATGAAATGAATTTAGTTTTTTTATAAGATATTTGAACTTCACTTAATAATATTTGGACTTAACTTGTTTTGTGTCAAATATTAATATTTTAATATTAAATTTGAACTCAAACTCAATTAAATTAAAATAAAAGTATATAAAAATTAAGCTGAGTTTGAAAGCCTTAAACGACATGAGTTCTAAAGTCTAAGCTTTAGACTTGAGTTTCGAATATTGTCTTTCATCACTCCTTAAAACCTTTTAAATTTTTACATTTTTGTTTTTTATGTTCTGTTTCGTAGAGATATTTTTTAAATTTTTAATTTTTGTCAAAAATAAATAATAAATATAAAAAAAAGAAAGACCAGATAAAAACAGTAACAACCCGGACCTTATTTAACCCAAACACGCCCATTAATCTTGCACGAATCCCACCTAACAAGACCCTTTTCCCACCTCCACGTGACCACCAAAGGCCCTTTTTTCCAGCCTCAAGACCCTTACCAAACCCACGCGCTCTCAAAGCAACGGCGTCGCACGCTCTCAAAGAGTTGAGGTCTCACTTTCTCGAGCACCCAAGGCAGCCGTCACCACCAGACCTCTCTTTAAACCAACAACACAAAAACTAGAAAAAGAAGAAGGGAGAAATGCGGAGCCTCTTTTTGCCTTAAATCGCTTCGGAGATCCGAGTCGATCGACCGCCGGGTAATCCTCCCCGATAGTCCGAGATCCCCCGAAGCTACCAGAAAACACTAGTTAGGGTTGTGCGGCGAGAGAGGACTTAAAAGGTTTTTTGAGTGTGTTTTTGTGTTTTTGGTTTTCGATGGCTTCGGAGGATGTGAAGACTAGCGAATCCGCGGTTTCGACGATCGTGAATCTAGCCGAGGAAGCGAAGCTCGCGAGAGAGGGCGTTAAAGCCCCTAGCTATGCTGTTCTTAGCATCTGCAAGTCTCTCGTCGCCGGCGGCGTCGCCGGTGGAGTGTGAGCTCTCTCTCTCTGGAGTGTTTGTTTGTCTCGATGGAAATTGTTTCCAAGAGGAGAACATTGAATTTCTCAAGTTTTAAAATTGGACAATAAAAATGAAAATTGTTTTTCAAATACATCTTCTGTTTAATTTATCGTTTTTATATGCAGGTCGCGAACTGCCGTTGCTCCCTTGGAACGTTTAAAAATATTACTTCAGGTTCATTTTTGTTTTAATTTATTTGCTTTTTATTTATATGAAGAAAAATAAATGCTTCAATTTCTGAATTGATTAATCTCTTCTGCGCCAAACAAATGCAGGTCCAGAATCCACATAGTATAAAATACAACGGAACAATTCAAGGTTTGAAGTACATTTGGAGAACGGAAGGCTTTCGCGGACTTTTCAAAGGCAATGGTACTAACTGCGCGCGCATTGTTCCTAACTCTGCGGTCAAGTTCTTTAGCTATGAGCAAGCTTCAAAGTACGGCTACTGAACACTGTTCAGTTCAACTTGTTACTATTGCTTTGTTGGTCGACTGACTGATTCCACTTTCCCTTCGGTTCTTATTGCTATGTTCGAGTCAATATCATGCTGGAATTGGTTATGTTTTTTAGGCTACTGTTTACTTAGCCCCTAAACTATTGACGATGGATCTATGTCTGACTGTGGACAAAAAGATGTTCAAACTAATACTATGCATAAACGTTTCTGGTTATGCAATTTCAATCTATCAGCCATAAGATTCCATGAGGGTGCTAAGTTTTCCTTCCTTTGCACTGCTACTACCATACGTGTTCAAGTTTTGTACTGAAGTACCAAGGCGTGTTTCTTTCTGCTGATGGTTCGTTGTTATTGTTTGTGACAGGGGAATACTGTGTCTGTATCAACAGCAAACTGGCAATGGTATGTCTGATATTGTCATCATCTTTTTGCTGAGCAATCTTCTCATGTTTGCATTATCTGATACACATAAAGAATTCACATATGATTTTAGGTTAATTTATGTCCTTTACATGCTCATATGGTCTCGCATGCATGATAATAATAGTATCATAAAAGCATTGGCTTTGTAATATCTTGTGGAACTTGTTATTACTACTAAAAGTTATGGTCTATAAGTTCATTAATGTTACATAGAACTGCATTCATGGGATAGAAAACCAATATTCTACATGGATGTTACCATGTATGTCATGAAATTTTTATTCTGATGTCCTTGGAATCTTGAAAGCTCATATACCAGTGTTCCTCTTGTTGCTGTTAATTCTGCAGAAGAGGCTCAACTCACTCCCCTTTTACGCCTTGGAGCTGGAGCATGTGCTGGAATAATTGCCATGTCTGCAACTTACCCAATGGACATGGTACGAGGCAGGCTCACTGTACAGGTATTGTCTTAGATATCTTTTTACTTGGCAGATGCATGATGTTTCATCTGTTATTTAATCTATCTCAATATTGTGAGGATTAAGCTTTGGAGGAGACTATTTTGTAGTAAATAATAAACTTTGGACATAACTTTCTTAGTTCTTCAATTAATTTGTATAAATTTGAAAAATATTTTAATTCTTCAAATGAAATATTTATTTCATTTTAAGCTGCTGCATTTTCTTTCTTTGATATCAGGGATTGTGCCTTGTAGATTGGCTACATGAGCATTTAATCATTTTGTTGTGTATATTGCAGACAGAGAGGTCTCCTTACCAGTATAGAGGAATGATCCATGCTCTGTCAACTGTGTTGCGGGAAGAAGGCCCACGGGCATTGTACAAGGGTTGGCTTCCTTCAGTCATTGGAGTTGTGGGTTATTATTTCCTTCTATTTGGAGTTTCGTAGTTATATGGCTTTTTTTTGGTATGGCTGTGATGAGAGCATGCCTTCTTAGCAGAACATAAGGGCTTGGAAGAGAGAGAAAAGTGGGGAGGAGTGAAGCATCCTTCTTCCTGAGGGTTTTATAAATTATGAAATCTCCACTCCTCTAAAATAAAATTCTGCCCCATTTTGCCTTCTGTTGAATTTTGTAATAACCTTTATGCAGTTGTTTTTACCTTTTACCATGCGAAGTTCTTAGTCTTTAGTCAGATCCTTCTCACTCCTTCGAATTATGCATAGTGCTTGGGTGGTCAAATTTGATTATTGAGTTATTGTTGGTGAATTCATTATCTAACCTGACAGAGAGGAATGTTTACCTTATTTGTTGTATGTTGATTTTGAACTCATTTTACGTTTGCAGATACCATATGTGGGTCTGAACTTTGCTGTGTACGAATCTCTAAAAGATTGGTTAATCAAAAGGAAACCATTTGGATTGGTTGAGGACTCTGAGTTGAGTGTGACAACAAGGCTTGCTTGTGGGGCTGCTGCTGGAACTGTTGGCCAAACTGTTGCTTACCCTCTTGATGTGATTCGCCGAAGAATGCAAATGGTAGGATGGAAAGATGCTGCCTCTGTTGTCACTGGTGATGGGAGGAACAAGGGCCCTCTTGAGTATACTGGCATGATTGATGCATTCAGGAAAACTGTTCGACATGAGGGCTTTGGAGCATTATACAAGGGTCTGGTACCTAATTCTGTCAAGGTCAGGCTCTTTTCATTCATTTTTGTTCACTTCTAGATAAGTTTAGGAATGACAATTTTTTCATTTGATTGATATCTCACATGAAATTTTACTTTGGACAAGAGAATACTTATATACTGAATGCATGAGGAATATTTTAATCTCTATTTGTTTTCTTCAACTGTCAAGAAGAATAGTGATTCGTATGTAGTTTGCATTATCCTAGACCAAAAGGTTCATGACTTTATCAAGACTTCTGCATTCTTTTGTTTCTTTATCCTTGATGAGTTTTTGTGGATTTGGAAAGATTGAGGTCTAGTTAGAAGTAAGAGTACTAGTCCTCCTTTGGCTGAATGCATTTTGTTGTCTTGCATATGCCCTAAAAACTTACTGCATTAAGCTTCTTTCTTTACTGATGCAAATGGCTTTATTTTCCCAGAATGGGTTATCTATGGAAGCTTATAATTCAGTAACATTTCCACCCTTTTTTGGTTGTACACTAGCACGACTTTACGATATGTTGTTCTCTAGTATTGAAAAGAACATACTTGATAGCATGCTATTGTTGATGGTTCTTTAATATAATTGACATTTTGTTGTAGATTTGAATACTCAAATACATGTCATCCGTCAATGTTTCATATTTAATATTGTTTATCCATTTCTTTTTCCAGGTTGTACCATCAATAGCTATTGCATTCGTGACATACGAGGTGGTGAAGGACATTTTAGGAGTTGAGATTAGAATATCGGACTGAACAGGGGGCCAATTCAACTTGGTAGTTATTGGATGTGTGCTATTTTTGTAGGGCAAGGGGATATAGAGAAGGTAAATTAGGGATGGTCTTTTTAACCTTTTTGTCTCACAAAAAATGAGTTTAGACACATGCACGAGCCTGTCCATAATTTCTACCCACGGTTCCCTATGTTTCCTTGTGAACGCTGTAGCTTTCAGCTCCTCCTCATTCATGTGCTGTGTCAATAAGGATGAAGGAACAATGCAAGACACATTTGCCTGCCTCTGCATAAAAGTTGAGAAAGCAATTTCCAAGCCTTCTCTGCAATATTGATTGTGTTCTTTCTGTCGTGTTGTAGACATTTTGCTCAATAAGTAGATTGGTGAGCTTTAATATGAAGTGAAATTTTTAAATTTACAAGTTAGATGCAGTCAGCTAAGGTCAAGTGTTGTTGCTGGGGTAAATATCCGGTGCTGGTTTTCGATTTCGTACTATTTCAAGGACAACAACTCAGCATGCATGCCGTTTTTTCATCTGTATGTGCAACTTGGGATGAACCATCGAGCACTACACCGCAGGCCTTAATTTGTGTGTGTGATTGTTGCTATATGTTGTGAATGCATCCCCGCATAATCATTATGGTGTCGTATCTCGTAATGTTACCATAGATATTTGTTTATCCGCTTCCCAGTTCGAGAATAGATAGGCACATAGTTGTAATTCCACATACTACTGTTAAGTTTAACAGTGCATTTGAATGAAGGAGTTCTATCCACTTTGGAAAAATGCACAAGGAAATCTTTCGCCGCTCCAACGCACGACTAAGAAACAGGGTGACGCAACAAAAGCTTACAAACAGAAAGTGAAAGAAAACAGTCACCAAATTCCATCTGGGATTAACATCTCTGGTGTCTGCCGTTTCTATATTGTCCCATAACAGCGGGTTTAATGGATTCTGTCCGACGACAGCAACAATGCCAGGAGAACGGTCTGAAAAAAAAAATTTATCCAACGAAAAAGCACCCAGAGGATATTTTACATGCTACAGTACCAAAAATAAAATATTAAAAAACCTGAATCTAAAGAATATTTTACATGCCATCGCCTTCATCATGTCTTTTTCTTCTTCTGTTCTCTTCCTATTTATAACATTCCTGTCTACATTTTCCTGCAATGCCTAAGCATAAGGCACGATAAGAGGAATATATAGGTTAGATTCCAACCGCCTCACCGGTTGTAACGAACAAAAGAAATATACAATCTTACCTAAAATCCTTGGGTGATGTTTGGATCCTTTGTGTTTGTCGTCTCATGAGCTTTACGTCATTTGTTTCCCGTTTTCTGGAATGTAACCTGGGTATGCAGGCCTTGCCCTTATTAGCTTCCCGATCTTCAATACTTGTCTTCCCTGTGTCAACCAAATTTAAGCGATCTTCGTTGCGTATAGAGCTCAGTGAAAGAGCCACCATCAGGAGATTCAAATCAGAAAGAAAAGTTGCGTTGGGCTCCCCCAAACCATCAACGTCACCTAACACAAGCTGACTTTCATGCTTTGTTTCGTTTTCAGGTTGTTCCATGTTGTCCTGTCTTCAACCTGTACCAACAGCATCGTCATTGTGACGACATATCCACGCCCCCTAAATAAAATCCTCTCTCATAATTTTGACAAGACTTACCCTTGATCGACCAAAACCAGGGCCTGGAAGACCCCCGTAAGAGAAAAGCCAAAAACAAAGAATCCTTACCTGGCTGTTACTTCGACCATAGAATTATCAATTGCATCGAATACCCTACCGAGTAAAATTATACGTCCGTTCTTCCCTACAAATGATTCTGTTCACTGGAATTTTTTTTGTTTTAACCTTTTGATGGGTTGTTAAGATTCTTTACCCCACCTGCACTCTTCTTTGTAGTAACCAGAAAATTTTTTTTATAAAGAATGCAAGCGGAGGCTCATAATCTATAAAGCCAAATTCGGCTATTTTAACCTCTCTGATGCACCAAAGGAAGATAGAGAACCAGGTTTTAACCCTCTAAATTAGTCACAGGTTGGCTAGGATTTAGCATCTCTTTTTTTTTTTTTTTGAGAATGGATTTAGCATCATTTTAGTTGAAACGGTTTTACTAATCATAGGGAATCAATGATTCCTAACTGGCTCAATTCCGAAAGACAATTTAAGGCCCAACCCAATGGTCCTTTGCATATTTGCATTGCATTTGCACGTGCTAGCCGTCACCCAAGGGACTACAATCTATGTGGGTCGTTCACAACTACTCGTTCCTGTGCTTGCAGTCCTGCCGCTGCCACTGGAGTTGTAGAAATATTACAGAACCGCCCCTTCGATGCAACTGCTTTGTCTGAAAATCGCAGCAAAAATCCAACTCCCTGCGAGACTGTCCCCGACACCCTCGACAGTGTCTGTCTTGCTTTCCGAAGCCTCGGGTTTATTATTTGCAGCCCCGGAGAGGAAAGCGGCTGGTGGGTTGGATGGCAAATTTGGCAATAATTAAGAAACGAGGGGCATTTGTCAAAGAGCCTGTCAAGGAGTCTCCCCAATATATTTTAAAATAATAGAATTAATATTTTATTTTTGATCTCAGAGTTTCCGGGAAAGAATATCGTGGCTGCACTTTTAACCTCACGTTTGAGACTGCTCTGGGCTAAGCATAGTCGCTCAAGAAACCCACTTGTATTTAATTTTTCATAAACATTTTAAAATTAAAAAATAAAATAAATTTGGAAAATTCATAGGCCAAGCAAAAATGGAACAATTTGCCATATTTAGCTTTAAAATGAAAAATACTAAAAGGAAAAAATATCTAGTAGACACCGAAAAGACATTGTTCTGTTTATGACCCTTTGTTGTTGTGTGTGAGCATTGAGGAGATATTATTATATTAATAGGTAATATTATTCTTTTACGCGCTCCCCAATTATTTAATAATATTTTCCGTTTCCATTTCTGGCAAGTTTTACCACTTTCTTCTTTTCTTTGTGGCTTGCCGAATTGAGAGTAACGGTTAACCGTTCTCTGCTATTATTGCATTTACTTTGGTCCTTGATGCGTAAGTTGACTCTTTTCCTTTTCTCTTTTTCCTTCTTTGGCCCTGCACATGATCATTTTGAATTTCTTGCTGCTCTGTACGACTTTGATTGTAAGAGAAGATATTTTCATGTGATAAAACTGGGTAATTTTATTCTTTTAATCACCCAATTTTTCCATTTTTGGGTTTAAGTTTGAAGCTATACTTAATTGTGTGTTTTTATTTAGAAATTTTTTGATGCTAGGGATGATGCATTGACTAGAAGATAATTTCTTGAATGCAGAAATCAGCATACGATTGTTTTTCTGTGTGAATACAATGAATTTCGAGCTTTTCACAGCCTTTCATTGTCATTTTTTATTATGTTTGTAGTAGGTAGTTGTTCTTGTAATGTACTATGAAGTACCAAAATTGATTGAATCGGGTTTTATTTGGCTAGTATGGAACGAGATGGGGAACAAATGGCTGCAAGTGGAATAGCTGAGAATACTGAATTCGCAAGAAAAGGCTTCAATTTTCCCTTGAGATCAGAAGGTCATGTATTGATGGAATCCCGGAAAATATATGAATCAAAGAGAAGAAACTGGCCGGTGAACGATGTTAGCAGCTTTGCATCTCAATGTTCTAGCGCTTCTTCTATGATTGAGACCGAGACAGGTGTTACAATGGAAGAATTGACAGCGGAAAACTATAAGACCTCAGGTTTAAGTTTGCCCAAGAGCTCGAACAACTTAAGGCAGGGTCAGTGGCAACGAATGCATCGTTTAGAAAGTATGTCTGAACATGAGGCTTTAGATGGAAACGTTGATCACATGTTGTTGAGAGCGAAAGAGCAGCTTGCGAGAATGTCTTATGAGAACCATAAGAGCAAGGATACTGATCAAACAACTGGAGGAATTTCTTTGCATTTGAAGGCTACCGACAACATGGCTATCTCAAGCAATGCATCGTCAGTTGCAGCTACTCCATTGAAAACGTCAACCAGGCCTAGCTTTTCGCAGTTATTTGTAAAGAAAGGTTTGAAGGGAAAGGGTATTGTTAGAAGAGATCCAGAATCTTGCACAACTGCTGACAATGACCAGCCTTGTTTACTTGGGGTTGATAGGCCTGCTACTGCACCTTGCCCCAATGGAATTACTTTGAGAGAATGGCTAAAACCAGGGAGATGTAAAGAGGATAAAGCTGAAAGCCTACTTCTATTCTGGCAGATTGTGAAGTTGGTGGATTCTGCACACTCCCAAGGAGTTGTCTTGCAAGACTTACGGCCATCCTGTTTCTATTTATCCTCATCAAATAGGGTTACATATACAGGTCTATCTGCTAAGAAAGGACTAGAGTCTGCTGTAAATAGTGATTTGAGGAGGAAAAGGTTCCTGGAAGAAGGGATGAATGCTGCAGATTGTAGTTTACATGCAAAGCAGCTAAAACTCAATGAGAACATGCGATCTCTTGGACACCAAACAGAGTTCACCTCTCCCCATGAATCTAGGATTGAGACGGGAAATAAGATTGGTTTTCATACATCTGTTAAGCAAGATTCTAACTGTTTTTTGAACCAGCCTCCAATTTTCCGCTACCCTTCTGCATCTGTTACACATTCTATTTCTGCAGCTATACAATCGGAAGAGAAGTGGTATGTTTGCCCAGAGGTGCCCAAAGGTAGAAGCTGCACATTTTCATCAAATATATATAGCCTTGGGGTTTTTCTTTTTGAGGTGAGGTTTTTTATTAGTATTCCATTTGTCATATTTGTTAGTATTTTGGAATTCCTTCATTGATTTTTGCTGCATAGTATATGATTTATTAACCTGATATGAGCTCAAGAATAAGTGTAAGACTTGTTTTTGAGTCTTAGAACCATAGATTTTAAATTGAATTCATCTGAGATTTTTGTCACATTGAAACTTATGAGTCTTAATAAAGCATGTGGTCACTTCCAATCCATTTGGACTAAGAAAGACAGAATCCTTGAACATATAAGTTTTTTCTTAAAATCCGCTGTCTATCTACTCCCTTCAGATTGAGCATGCTTCAACATAACTTTTCAAGAATTCATTACAAAAGTTGTGCCAGGACAATATCAGGTCTTAGTAATCTTGTTATTCCTTTCCAATAGTACTCAATTATTGTAAGGCAATTTAAAAACTTTTTTCTCAGTTGCTACATTTTCATCTCTGGAGTTGATAGAAAGTCTATCCATTGAACTAATGTGGGCTGTTTCTATCAGTTGCTATCTTGTTTTGAATCATGGGAGCTGCATTCTGCAATGATGCTGGATATGAGCCAAAGGATTCTTCCACCAAGGTTCCTTTCAGAAAATCCTAAGGAAGCTGGCTTTTGTCTTTGGCTTCTTCACCCCAAACCTTTGTCTCGTCCAACAACTAGGTATCCATGAAGCTTTTATTATCTGCCATTCATCTGCAGTAACTACTAGATTATAGCTTTTCTGTTTATTTCAGAACTGGTAAATTTAAAAGCCTTATTGGATCAAGACATTACAGTGTCATTGGCGGTTGCAATTAAGGGGAGTAAACAGTTTGTGTCTTCCTTTCTCAGACCCTTTGCTAATCCTAGCTTAAATACATTTGATTCTTTTGTAGTTGTAATGGCATACTCTCCCATATGCAGTGTAGTGAATATAAATGCTAACAAAAGATAAATTTTCCAGCTCCATCCCTCATAATGTACAGCTTAGATATTCTGGTATTATTACCTAAAAAAAAGGATATTCTGTTACAATTTCTGAGGTTTAGGTGTACTTGTTAATTATCAACATTATGCCTTGTGACTTGGACAATTTAAATGCTAAGTTGCCGAACTTCATGGGTTCTCAAATATTTTGAACATGTTGTCTGTCTGTATCCATAAGTTAAGCAGACCTAACATAGTATCATGTAATGTGTTTTGTTATTCTTGTATTCTTCCATGTAGAAGTAATATAGCAACATGTTTTTGCTGCAATATGAGATCATTTGAATGGGCATAAGTAGAACCTAAGCTGTCATTTTATATTTTAAGATATTAAGGATCATCTAAAGACTTCACGTAGAGGATTAAAAGAGGTTGTAACATTCATTTGGTTGGGTCTCTTTCGCTAGCATGCACATAAATTATTGTTTTTACTCTCATCTCCTGGCTTCCTAAATAAATTGATGTTATTACAATTGCAAGTGCTTGTACTTCATTTTGTTGGTATGTAGGTTATGTTGTATACTGCAATGCATGATGATTTAATGTAGATTCTGCTTGTTTTAGTCCTTTAAGTACATTCCAATTTTGTACAAAACAGGGAAATCTTGCAGTCTGATTTATTTTGTGGATCCCAAGAATGGTTTTGTGGGAACAATTTATCAGAATCTCCTGATAGTGATATGGCGGAATCAGACATATTACTTCATTTTCTAATTAGATTAGAAGAACAAAAGCAGAAGCATGCCTCCAAATTGATTGAAGATATTAGGTTCTTAGAAGAAGATATTAAGGTGGCTGAAAGAAGGCACTTATTAAAGACATCCTCAGTTTTCCCTCAGAAACAAAATGAATTTCCTAATGCAGGAAAAAATTGGTTGCATTTTGAAGACCCCAGAACATCAGTTGCTCATTATAGATCAAATTTGAAGTTAGATGTAAATGAAGGATGGTTGTCAAAAAATATTAGGCAGCTTGAGCATGCGTACTTCTCCATGAGATCCCAAATCCATTCTTCCGAAACTGATGCTGCAGCGTGCTTTAATAAAGACTTGCTGAGGAATGGAGACAGGTTGCCCAAGGTGCAAAGTGGGAATGGTGAGATGGGAATGAATCAGAAATCTATTGATCCCCTCGGGGTCTTTTTTGAAGGTTTGTGCAAGTTTGCTTGCTATAGCAAGTTTGAAGTGTGTGGAACAATAAGAAATGGGGA